GAAAGATATAACCCTCCTCAGGACATTGCATGTTCCTCTCCTGGCTGAACTCATGCCGAACTCTCAACTTTGCCAATAGACCTGCTACAACATGTCAAGTTCAGTCTCTCCAAGGATTTTCAAGGGGAGACACATGTATTCTGGCACGCAAATCAAACGCCATCCGGTAGCCCAAACGCCATCCTTTGGGTCTGATGTTCTGCAAGTAGCAGACCGGACCCTCGGATTGGACCGTCTCGCCTCCGGTCCTTCTCGCGTCGTCCTCGCTCGAGCCAGCCCAGCCCAAAATTCGCCCTCGCCCAGATTTGGGTAGTCCGTCTGTGGTTGACAAGAACATCAGGCAGCCCTGTCCCTCACATGTCTCACAAATCTTCTGTGAGACATCCCAAGTCATCGAGATAGTAGACACAAGCCGACAAGATGCACCACCACAAAACAGCTGTTTTTCTTGTTCTAGGTTGTTTAGAAAGATCTGTGGGCCCAGAACAAAGGGAAACACATCTTCTTTTGAAGATCAGGTTCTCCTAGCTAACTCTTCAATACTCACGACATCTCAAGATCGCATAAGGAGTAAGGATAAGTTGAAACAGCCCCCCCTGTGTGGGGTGGAAAAAATGTACACAAGAAATTTCCTCGCAAGTACCGGAGGTGATCTTGGGTGGACTTGGACAGTGCGCAGTGTGACTTTCTAAGTAACTAAGTGTAATAAAACAAATCATTTATATGCATCGATGCATATATATATATATACCGTGTGAGTACTCACTTCCTTTGCTCGATGCCAATGACAACAACTTGGGTGAAGTCTACGTCAGTTGGGGGCCACCATAACATGTTCAGTTCCATCATGTTCTTCGCCACATATAAGAAACTTGTCGCCACATCGTGGTCCTTCTAGACTGTCCAGAGGTATATATATATACACACCTCTCTGTGGTCCCAGGATGTCTGAGGGACACATAAATAAATAAATATATATATATATGTATTATATCATTGCGTCACAAAGTGACAAAGAATCACAAAATCACAACATCCCTCCAATCCAGGCTCCTTGCGGCCAGTTGTTCCCCTTGGTGCGAAACTCTCCTGCATAGAGCTGCTGGGCAGTTGAGTCAACATGGTTTGATCTGTCGCCCATATGAAGATTTGAGGGCCTTCTAAAGGAACTGATCTTGGATTCTGTTCTTATATACTTCATCACTAACAATTAACACGTCCTGGACCCACAAGTCGTGGATGATGCTTGGGAGGGAACTTGCCAGAAACAAAGGGGAACAGCATGGAACAAGTCATAAATCGAGCACGGACCCATTCAGGTTACACACGTCATTCGGATCATGCGCTTGCCACGGTTCTTTAGAACTCGGAAGAATTGGTCAATAAGGTTCCATATGGTTCCATAGGTCATAGATCCACTGGAATCATTGGAATCAATTGGTTCATATTCCTTTTCAATTCTCCGCGGCTGCAGAAAATGTGACCAGCTCAGCCTGCAAGCCCAGTTCGTAGACTCAACGGCACTCTGAGATGGACAACTGGCAGATTGTGACTCAGGAGATGGAATTTGATCCTTTGCGCACCGAAATTCGCACTGCGCCGGAGTTTCTGTTAGGGGAAAAACCGTAGCTTCTCCTTGGGAGAGACGTCACCGGCTGCCATCTTGGCCTCAGGCGAGTTGGTAGGTTGGGTCATCCGAAGCGCTCTGGTGTAAGCTGTCTAGAGGTTCAAATGGCCTCCGACCTGCTAGGGATGGCCTCCAGCCTAAGAGCGATGGCCTCCAACCTACTAGCGGCTAGCGATGTCCTCCCTTCAGAATTTGAGGTTGTGCAACCAAAGGACTTTCGATGTGTTCGGGGCCGGGTCCATGGTGTTGTGTCAAGTGTCTCTCTGGTGTGCCGTGGTTCCAAGCTGAAACTGCCCAAGGCTGATATTATAGACGTCTCACAATAGGCATGACCCATGATATGGATGCCTGGAAAATTCACGTTCAAAGCGAGAAAAGGAGTTCAGTTGTCTACTTAGCGACTTGCTCAAATGAAGTTTTGCTCTAAGAAGGGCTGTATTACATTTGAAACACTTTGGTTCAAATTGGCAGAACATGGGAAGAACCATCAGGGTCAAGCATTTGTACCCAATAGTCAAAGTGTGGAATTCAACTGCTTTGAGTGACGAGTGTAACAAAGGAACGACTTCGCAGGATTGTTGCAGCTTGACCATGCCAATGAGAACCAAAAATTCACTCAAATGCGTTCTGCATCAGTTAATGATAACGCGCAGCTTAAGCAACGATGGAGGTTTACCGCCCATGCGGTGTTCTTGGACTGCACTTATATATCCAAATGATCTTCGGCACCTCCAGAATCTCCAGATCGTTTGTTGACCCACCGGAAACCACGAAGAAAGAGCTTGACCGGGTGAGTTCCCTGCCCAGCGAACCAGTGCTTGGCCATCCCAGTGGCCGCTAAGCTTGACGGCCATGCCGGAGAAAAAACACGCCAAACGAACTGTGAGCAACAGCGCGCAGCGGCAAATGTGGCACGTTGTGGCACCCTCTGGCAGTGCCCCCAAAACCGGATTGGACCCCTCAATGTTGCGAGGACAACGGGAGATCAAACGGGAGACCCAGCAATGCTTGGTGAAAACCGGGGTACAGCATTGGCGTTGTGAGTAGTAAGGAAATACCCAGGTCCCAGCAAGACTGGGTATGTTGGGGGTCCAGTTTCCTTCAGGCCGCTCATCGATCACCAGAAACTTTGGAAAGCAACAAATTTGCCGGAACGAGGTAAAGTTAAGGAACAACAGCACTTCCTGTGCTGTGGGGGCCAGTTGTTTGTTGTTGGTTTTATCCGGCAACAGCATCATCCAAACTGCAACGCATGCTTCTTTGGCACTTCCACCCACATGCCTTGCAACTGTCCATCATGGCTTGAAACCTGAAATCACTCCCAAGTACACCTGAATTGTCAATTAGGGAATGTTCCTCAACGGTCTGGGCACGCTGTTCAATGGCTCCATACTCACCTCATGACCTGTGGGAGCGCAACAAGCGCTTGCTGTTCTGCTCTTGTTTTGGTCGTCACTTCAGAAGCACTCGTCCAGTTCCAGCGAGATGCGACGTGTCCCTTTGGGCTCCTGAGAGGAACAGATTCTGGGCCGGACGACTGGTGATGGAGCACATCAGGGGATACAACTGGCTTGCTGAACAGTTGATGAGCACAAAGACTTGCTGTAACTGATGGCATCGGCTTGTAGGTCCAAAGCCCAGTAGTGGGGGCCTGAGTGCGAAAGGTTGTTCATGTTTTGTATTTCCTTCGTAGACTCGCCGATCTGAAGTTTTCTCTGAACTCGATTCCGGTTCCTCTCGCAGTATGTAAGCTTTTCACTGGCCACAAACGCAAACGCGATCGGTCGACTAAGAAGGTGCTTAAGATGCTGGAAGCCTTAAGCTAAGCATAGCTAAGCTAAGTCAATATTCTATTGTGTTTTCTAGGGCCTTTTCCATCGCCCAGTTCCACAAAAAGGAAATAACCAGTCAGTGAAAGAACTGCAACCTCCCTGCAAAACGAAGCTGAGGCTTTTCAATCAGATTGGGCAAACGTCTCGCAATCATGCGGCCTAAACCTCCACAATTCATCCGAAGCTTTTCAGGGCCTCATAGAGCCTCCAAACCCTACCTATAGAGGAGGCAGTAGCCTATCTTCCACCACCCTGTCACCCCTATCTTCCACCAGCAACTTCTCGCGGCACAGCGCGAGCGACACCACGCGCGACACCGCGACACCGCGCTCCAACTCTCCTGCGTCGCGTCCACCGAAGCGACCAATGCCTTTGTCGACTCACAGAACGCCTAGCGGCAGCGGTCTGACCGGCTAAGCGGTGCTTTTATTGGTTCCACACCAGAAGAAATCTATGAGTCTTTGATATTAGAACTGGACATAGATTTAACACAAAACACGTCACAGTGGTAGCTAATATGTGGTAACGCTAATCTGGTATCCGAGTAGATTCCGTGGCCCAAATGGAAACCAACCTACAAATGGCCGCATTGACAAACACGTGGCACTTCTTCTTTGTGCAATCTCAAATGCTCCAAGTGTTCGAACAACTCGCCCATGTATCGATCTATTTAAATTCGTTTCAACACATAGAAATCAACACATGATACGGATCACATGATGGTCCTTGATGGTCTCTGTTCGTTCTGTGCAAACAAACCATCCATGACCAAACAATGAATGGTACTTACTAAACAAACCACATGGTAGATTCCTTTGCTAGTAATTACAAGTGCCTCGCTAGTAGTAACCAGTGCCTTACTAGTAGTAACAAGAATTGTAATTAGAATTCTAATTAAGGAAAGCAACGGCTTCGTTTCCTTGTGCTTCGATACGCTTCGCTTCGATCCGGAACCGGCGCATCGGGACTCGAGTCGGACGTGGGGACTAGCCGACTGGCCACGCCGATGAGTGGGTCTTGGGATGTGTACTTTGGGAATCAACAAAGGCCCACTCCAACCTACTGGTGCTGGAAGGATGCAGGAGTCGAGGCTAGCAGCTAGGTGTCTTCTACACATACCCTCGGAAAGCACTCCGGCAAGGAAATGGAACCAGCCTTTTTTTGGCATCGAACTAGGACTCTTGGATACCCCTGCAAAGCCTCAGAATATTATAAGTCCTTCGATTTTTGAGTGATCGCGCTCATGGCACCATAACCCATCTGATAGTGCCATAGAAACCTTCGCAGGAATTCATCAAATCGTGTGGTGGTCTTTGAAACATCCAATGTACTTGCACAGTCCAAGTGATCTCCCCACTTGGTGCTCAGGCCTGAGCAGTGCGTGCTTCCTTTAGCAAAAGGACAGTCCTCCTACGTTCACCTCACTGGGGAATATCATTCTACTCCATTTAGTTCATGTTTGGTGAACCCGGGAAAATCAGTGGCTGAAACATCCGTGAACCACTCCGTCCATCACCTTGATATCCTCTGCAGTGGGCACACTAACCTCGGCCTGGCGCCCCCGAGATACTGCGAGGAGCGGTGGGTGAGCACTAAACCGAAGAGCGAATGGCTTCCAACCTATCAGATAGTCGCAAACGCAAGTCCAATGCGTCTTTTCGGACTAATTGGATATACAACTGGCTAAGACATGCTCAGATGCTTGGGGAGGGTCCAACATTTGGGACTGGGCCATTGGGACCGGGGAAAACCGGTCCGCATCCTGCTCCATCCAGCTCAGACGTCACCCAAAGGTTGGGATCCAAGGCACACCAAAGCTCTAACCTTCCAAAGCTCTCTGGATACAGGGGTGGTTGCCGGCTCGGACACAAACATCAACAATATACTCAATATCCAGGCCATCCCCTTTCTCAACCATCCAGCCAAGAGCGGCAAACATGTGGCATACAAAAGAAAAAACTTTGCTGAATGAACAACAGAGTCTTTTGAGCCGCAGCATCCCAAAAGTGACTCGAACCCACCCTTGCGCAATGCCCAGGCTATGTCACAAAGAAGTGGCGCTGTCCCAACTTTGAAACACCTGAACAACCGTGAACCATCCACATCTGAACAACCCACATCTAATTAAGGTACAAAAAGATCAGTGTCTTTTGGGGAACTGAATCAATTTCAGTGTCTTTTGGGGATCTCTTGGGTTCCCATGAATGCGTTGTCCTTTCTTTTTTCGTTCACCTCCACCCAATGCAACTCCATGACAGAACATCCTGGCCTCTTTGGGAAGCAAAGCGGCGTCCTGGAAAGCGAGTGAGGGATGTCCATGACCTCAAATGAGAGAAAATACCTACACCTACTACTACTACTACTACTACCACCACTACTGCTGCTAGTACTACTACTACTACTGCTACGTACTTCTACCTCGAGTGTTCATGGTGTCCGGAGCAGGGGCAACTTCTTCACCTCTTCGGTCTTGAAACTGCTGCCCGTCGTTTGTACCAACTGCGTCGTTTGTCCAGCCAGATGATCGCCGCGATCGCCAGGGCCTTCAACTCGAAACATGTTGAGATATGCTAAGTATATTGACACTGAGACCTTTGAATGCAGGTTTTCATTCTCCAAGTGTCACCTTCATCAATTCATTCTTTTGTATACTACCATCTTCCCATAGGACGATCGGAAAAGCGGTCCAAGGCTTGCAAGCAAGTGCTCAAAACATGATACCGGAATTGGGACGCCAAAGAATGCCGCCTTTTTGCGAGCATCCTTCTCGCTACCACAATGTGCTTGACAGTGTCCACCGAACGTGACAACCATAATAACCGAAAAAAAGAACGCCGCAAAGGGCGACCTTTGTGTCTCACGTTCGGCATGTGTTTGATGGTGTTTGGAGTCTCCAAGTGTCCTCTGTGGTAGGGGTCCTAAGGACTGGGGACTGTCGACAAGACGAACCATGTGAAAGAATCATCGTTCCATTCACTCCGGATATACTTTTTTGCACTTCTTCAGCCGTTCTAGGTAACCTGTCTTCCGATACAAGGATTCAAAAGGTAATAGTACTTAGTAAATGCAGTAATGGTAATAGTAGTGAACAAAAGGGTAATATTCTACTATACTATCAACAAAAAGGCAATGGTAGTTAGTTTGCTCCATGTGCGGAATGAAGACACACTTTGACTTTAATACATCCTTTCACCCCCATCCAACAGTGACTTCTTCACAAGTATACAAAAAGTCGTTGCATGGAAGATATTTTGTATAGTCAAAGCGCCACCTAACTCCATCATCACAACCTTGTAGCCGTTCTTAACCCGTTCCTTCTCACCAATTCGGCCTCCCCATGGTGGACCACTTACCACCAATTCCTGCGCCGTCGGATCGATCGAAGTTCGTGTCGTCATGGCCTGGATGTCCGGAGTCGCAGAGACCAACGCCTCTGTCGACTTGGACTCCGTTGCGAAGACCTGGGCGTGATGCGGCGCGTTTCTTTTTTGGCGCGCGAGTGAAGAACCTGACGTGCGAGGGTCAAGCGCCCGCGCGTAGAAGACGACGAGATGTGTGGAAGCCAACGCTGTATTTAGCATCTATAAACTCATACTGCAGTTCAGTGCTGTGCTTGGATGTCGCGCAAACATTGAAATACATGAGAAAAGGGTCAACAAAAGTGGTGGGCCACCAAGTATCGGCCATGGTTGCCAAACAATTAGGAGCTTTCCACTACGAACCACCAGTGCAGGAAAAGCCTGATCGCAAACTGTTCAAAAGCAAAACTGAAAAGTACACACAACTTCCCAGAGTGATGTGTTAAATGCGGTGTTGTCTGCTAAAAGGATGGACCGATGGACCACAGGAAACTATTCTAGTCTATACATGTTATATATATATCTTTGTCAATTTCTATTTCTATATCAACATCCCACAACACCTGGCAACACAAACAGTAGTCACATCACGGCCAGGAGAGACAACGATCGGCCTGGCCGAGAGCGTCCGGCGACCACAAGGTTCCACCCCCCGGGCTTCGCCCGTCAGCCGGTTGCGGAGGCCTTCGTGGGCTGAGAGCGTTCTGCTGGAGCTTGTGCCGCCTGGTGATGAGGCCACCAGCCAGCGTGGACCCCAAAGGCCCCAAAACGAGACAACAAAAACGTCACAAGCCAACACATGCCAACACCAAGCATTTACAAATTGATTTTGCCAAGTGTGGGGATTGCATTCAACAAACACACCGTCACTGTGGCACACAGATCTACGTACCCAAGGTATCCCCGTGTTGACCCACAGTCTTAAATCTATCCCTACAAATGCAAAGACCCAGTAAAACCTAGTCCTAATTACTTATTGGTGTTTTTGTACGACCACGTAAATTAGTCCTACTCAGTCTTATAAGCCGTAGGGGTCTATATTGAGTCTACATGGAAAGCCAGCAAACCATACTGTAGACTGTAAACCACAAAACCCGATTAATACTCTTGCTAACTCAACAAACAAGTGAAGTGAACATGCATGATTGTTCTTTTGCAGTGAACACTAATCTTCTGAGTACTCACTATTCTGGAAACACACTCGTTTCTCATAGCTCCCGCAGTTGGATCACTCCTTAGCTGCCCAAGCCGCGACTCGCATTGCACAAGCAAACAGCCCACCTGGACCTCTTCCCCTGAGGTCTCCATCCAGCCAGTGAACACCTGCACTGTGGATCGCAAGGGTTGAGCTCTCCAAACTCACTGATAAAAATCGCTGAGGTTCTTTACTCAAAAGATTGAAGCCACATAAAGCAGCATGTATTGGAAAAAATCAGGAAGTCTATGGCCCCAAAGGAAAATGAGTCTTATATATTTTCAACCAACAGGGTTCCATCTTTGCTGGAACCATGCGTTCATCGGACCATGCAATCAGTGACTGGGCTTTAACCGCCTTTACGCCAACAAGAACAGCGTAGACTGTATATTTATATCCATATATGTCCACGTGTATCCCCTTTTGGACACAAAAAAACTGGTGACAGTGACAGCTCTTGCATTGCCGTCGGTTGCCACCAAAACTGTTCACAACTCACGGTTTCAAGAAGCGGCTAGAGTGGGATTTTCGGAAGCACCGTGCTCATGGTGCTCGTTAGTACTGAAATGACACCAACCTGGCACCATGTTTAAAGCCTACTGTGGGGACCACTGTGATTTCTCCCACACCCATCGCTGCAGGGAGGAATCAAAGAGCGGCCAAGTGGTGTGGATCTGTGTTTGCCGTCACCAGAAATTGAGAAC